GCAAACTTCTAAACCCTCATGTTGTCTCCATCCAACGCAGTGCCCACCCTTTCCTAACCACAACAAAACCACCCTCCGCACCAGTGCAAGGCGCCATCCGTGCTGCCAAAAACAAATGTCACACGTCCAACAGTTGTCACACCACCCAACTGGAGAGGCGACACAGTGGTGAGCACTGCCAGGTCCGTCACCGTCGGAGGTGCACTGCCAGGGGCCGCGGCTGCTCCACCTGCTGCCGCTGACGTCACCTTCTTGAAGCGCCCCATGGAAAATTCAAAAGGGCGCCAAAGGAACCTTGGGCAACATCCTGCGCCATGCACCGCAAGCTCAGCCCCACAAGCTCCGAACACCATTGTCATCCACAAATATATACACCCATGTCCTTTCTCGGACCTCCATTTCAATCCCAACGAGGGTCCTCATCCGTTGGGATTGAAAACAACAACTATTTTCATTGGGTTCTCAACCTGGCTGCTGGGATCCCACGCTTGCAGCAGCCGACCGCCCAGCACCCGATGGCAGGCCAAATGTCCCAGGCGCCAAGCAGTTCATGATACTTTAGGATCATAATGTATACCTTTATTGTAATAGTTGTTCATACATAGTCTAAAAATCATCTGTCGATGGGTGCTTATCTAGATGTTGATCTGTCTACCTGCATCTATAACATATTATTACTCAGAAACAAAATTTACCAGATGGTATTTTCTTCTGCTTCCTCCTTCGCTACACCTGAGCCATCTCCGGGTTAGACTGGCTGCGGTCCCCCCCTAAAGAAAAGGGGGGCGGCGGCACCCGGGCGCTAGCCCATTCTATATGTATAACCTGCGGATTTAGGGGTGCCCTGTTCTCTTGGACAAATCCAAATGCGCCAAATGGATCTGACTCACTGGACTTGGATGGGTTGGTGGCAGAACAAACTTGAGAGCCAAACTTCTGGGTCCTAATCAAAATGGTAATCTTTGGGGTATCCGATCATCTTTCGGATATCCCGGATATCCCATGAATTACATTCCATTTTTTGGTGTATCCAAAAAATCATGTAAAACCCTAAAACCCCTATGCGTATGGTTCGTTAAATTTACCATCCCACGAACGGACTTAAAATTGAGCCGGTATTTTCTTGTCTGCGAATAAGGTATATCCCCAAATCTGATCAAAATTGGTTGAGAAAATTGGCACACGAAACTCAAGACTCCTCCATGACACCCATCTCGACTGAGAAGGACATCGGCGCTGGACCCAAAGGCCAAACCGATGGAAAATTGGGCCTGCCAAAAAAAAAGGTCTTGGTGAAAGTCACTGAAGGTTGGGAACTTACCACAAAACAGGTAGTAAAGAGATTGTTGTGGTCTTTCTGGTGAGGTCCCCAGGAAATTCAAAGATGTTGGACAAATTGGTTGTTGCCCTCCTAAAAGTAGACCGAAAGTAGATCGTGAAAATGAGTGGCGCCTGGCCCTGATTTCAAGAAACACCTTCTATTTTGGATGGTCTTGCTGTTTGAAAGCAGCTGCGAAAGGGAAAAGTATCCCTCATTTCCTGCCTGAGCTGAACTAGAGGTGCTGCCTCCTGTGCAGGGATGAGTCCGAGGTCCTGTTCCCCCAATAAAAACCTGCCACGAAGCTCATCGAACATGGGCTCACCCCTCAAGAGGTTCCATGAATTTTCAAGTTCGCCCGATTGATGATTTGAAGCTTACGGAAAAAAGAGAAAACCCCCTGGAGATCACATCCCAGTCATCCCATTTCAAACAGTTACACCCAGCAATGCTGGGCATGGTCAGATGTCCTACTTCAACATCAACTGCTGAAACCAGTGGTGGGACCTCCCCAACAAATTGCCACAAAGCCCAAAAGACTCCATCCACTTGTACGGTGCATCCCCCTCCTCGGCACTGAGCAGAAGCACGGTCAACATGGAGTCACAGCCTCGGAGAGTGGGAGGCTGTAAGAAGCCCCTTCAAAGTTGGGATTTGGGTGGGCCAAAAATCCTAAATCCACTGGTTGGTCACTATTTTTCTCATCGCAATAAGAATTTGGGAGGTATCTACCCCATTTCGACCCATTTGCTCTGGGGAGACACAGTGTCAATCTCCACCACAACGTACGGTGCTGCAGGAAAAACCTTCGAAAAATAGTTTGCAGGAGTCAAAGTGTCAATTTGTCCTATGCTTAGCCACAATCCATGCCTTGGAAAGCTACTTGCGAATTCAATCCCTCCCTTTTTGTCAATGTTTCGGACCAAATCTGGTCGACAGGCAGAACATTCCAACCCTCTTCCAGGCCTTGGCTCGAAAACGTTGTCACGCAGACAAAGAACTCGCACTTTTGGTCGGTGTTCGACATCACCTCCAGGAATCCCCAGAATTGGAAGATTTTGGAAGCTAAGAGTCAGTGTATTGAAAATATCCATGGAATATGTTGGATATGTTGACAAAGCTTGGGATATTTATGGGCCATAGAATTATTTCCCCCTAACAAAGCCAACTCCTGGAAATATCCCATCTGCCTGGTCCATGGTCTCATAGCCTGTCTCAGAGGAGTTCAAGGCTGGCCTGCGGCAACTGATCGACATCGGGGTGTGGATGGCAAAATCCGGGGGATAGCGTGTTATTGTGTATACTGTGTATACTGTATACTGTAAACTGCATACCCCATTAGAATCATTAGACTGGTTGATTGTGTTTAATCACTTTGATGATGCCACCATTTCTGTGGTTTTGCCTCCATTTTTCTGGTGAAATTCATACTCTTCAACAGCACCATGAACGTGAAGTGGGTATAAACCCTGGCACCCTGTAGTTCTCACATAATCTCCAAAATTGAATAGAATATAGCATGAGGATCATTTCAACAAAAACACCCCATTCCATCCCGTGATTCATCATTTTCATTCATTTTTCATCCCGTTTCCCTACTAAAAACAGGCAATTTTGGAAGCCCATCCCATCTGGAAAGACCAGGTAATGACCACTTCCTCGTTGGCTGCCAGCCGCCACTTAAGGCAGGAGATCCAGCCAGGGCGACCACAGATGCGACGGCCTGAGCTATAAATGACCATTTTAGTGGTGATCATGTGGTTGGGAGACTGTCCACTGTGGGAGAATATATATTATATAAATTATATATATATGTAGTAGAATATGTGATATATAATCTAGCTTCCAACAGTTCCCTCCTACCCACTAGATTTTGGCCGTGGATCAAGGTCATTTTGGGGTATCGCCCCATCGAAAAACTAAGAGCGTGATGTTGCCGTGGATTTCAAAATGATTTTCGTTAAAATGGGAGATTTGAGGAATACCCCAAAATGGCCACAAAAACCTTTGGAAACTGTTGTCACCCATGGGATGTAACGGGGTTCCAGATTCCGAGACAGCCCCATTGTGATGTTCTGTACCTTTGTTGCCTTTCTGAACATATTCATCCAAATTTACCTTGAAATGTACGTGGTGTATTTGCCTTCAAATATTTTTGGAATGTGGCTTCCAACCCCCAAAACAGAAATGGACGGTTCGAGGGAAAAGTCGCAAAGACCCGTCGCTAAGGGACCCGAAAGACTGTCGCATTGCGTGGAGCTGCAGCTTTGAAACAGCGAGTTTCAAAAGCGGCAATGTCCTGGTTACAGCAGAGCTTCAAGGGGGAGTTGGTTCATCAAATAATGGTCCATTTCAAACGCCAAAAAGAATATATAAATATATACATAAGTTCGGGGTTTAGGAGTTTTGCAGTCTTCAAGCCTCTTGTTTCTGGATGGTTTCAGAACGCCGATGTTATGGCCTGAAACATGCATCGTACAGACCAGCCAGGTAGTCAACACAGGAAAAGATGATCGAATCTGACATGTCCTCTATCAGAACAGGTCGTCCGACATCAATTGGCTCTTTGACCACCTCGCGATTTGGTCACATGATGTGGCTGATGCGGTGGATACCTTCAAGTAATCTAGCCTAGCGTGCTAAAAAAAAATCCGCCATAAAAATGTCCGTTCTAAGATGATTGTCCGGGAGTTCTCATTGTAATCGTTCACTACAAGAGAGTATCAATTCACATAACCTTCCCCCGCACCGGCCTGCAAAGGCCCCTCTTCCTTGGCCTGCAATTTTTCAACATCACACAAACCAACAGTGACCATCCAGCAACGAGATCAACAGGGAAATGGCGCCATGGTCCCGCACCCAGGGCCATGCGAAAGCGACCACCCAAGCGTTCGCCTCAGGTGCGGTGCACACAACCTCCGAACTCCGGGCTGCGTCCCAGATTTTAAGTCACTAATAACCATGCTGCAACTGCTACAACCCAGGTATGTAATGTATGGAAGATCCATCAATATCCCAATATCCCTAGTTTTACATACCATTTATAAACCACTCACTGGTATGCACATCCAGCTATCCAGGTCTTCTGAATGACTGGGGCGCCCACCAAGCACAGCAACGTGCTCAGGCACTTCATGCGCCCAAAATTGGAACATTTGGAAGGAGGATCTTCTGTGGATGGCCATGCTGCCTGCTTCATGCTTGTTGGCCTGCTACAGTGGCTCAGAGTCTGGTTTTGGCCTATCTCTTTTTCGAGTCGGATAATGTTTAGGCGGCTATTGAAACACAAAAACTTGAAAGCCTCCAACGGACCCCGCTGGAGCTTGTCAACTTGTTTTCATGTTTTTTTCCCATTCACTTTCAGCCGAGGGTTTGTGATTTGTTTGTTTCCCATTCCATGCTCGTTGTTTGAAACTCATCTTCTACCTTATCAGCTGGAAGCCAATGGCCCTGAAGTTGCTTAAGGTCACTTCAACCCTGGGAACTGCTGGGAATATCCTGGAAGTTGCTGGACATTTATTGGAATGTATAGACATATATTGCTGTCGTTGACTACTTTCGATTATAATCCCTAGTGCCTGGATCCACAAAATTTACTACATACCTCTTTTGATGTGTGTTTTGTAGCGCGGTCCCATTCTTGGAACTATTGATACTCTCACCTGGTGCTGCTTTCCATGGTGTTTTTCGCGACGAAAAGTTGTCTCAAAATGTTTGCATCATCAACCGCTTCTCATGTCATCTCTGGAAGAGGAACCTACTCTTACCCCGTGAGACAGGAACGACACCTACCCCGTGGGACAGGAACCGACTGACCCCAACCCATCAACGCGTCATTTCGCCGAGATCAGCCCGTCGTAGCTATTCGGACTTGGTCCCGGTGGAGTCCCCAGTGGAGTACCCAGACTTGGACAACTTCCGGCGCCGCTTGATCCTCTCGGGAATCTTTGAGAGCTGCTTCCAACTCATGATTGCGAAGACGGTCAAAATGCAGAGAAGTTTCAGGAAACTAAAGCCATGACCTCGGAGTCACGCATTTTTCCTGTCCAAAATTGATCATGTTTACAAAAACAATGAACTGTATATAATACGATATATTTCAAAACATCATTCCTGGTGCAATGACACATGGAAAGCCATCCACACTTGAAGATTGGAAGAGTTGACCTTATTGGTCACTGCCTGTTTCGACCTCTTTCCCACAAGACTAGTGAACTTAAAGCAAAACCCGGAGCGGAGTTACTACCTATCGACCCAATCCCCTTGGATTTCGTCTGACAACTGAGGCCAGGACCAAAGAATATCAGGGAGATCAGCACAGACAACAACTGACGTGCCGTCATAATCCAGGTGAAAGACAACGAGCCCAGAATACGGATGGCCGAATAAATGCAGAACTGACCCAGCGCGGAAACCACTCCCAGAGCCACAATGCGTTGCAAGACATCTGGATTGTCCATCGCAAGGTGGATGGATGCACGAATTTTGGGCCAGCTGTAATATAAATTGCTGGAAGTGAAGACCATGCCCAGGAAGTTGCCACCCAGCATCATCTGCAACTGGGTGAGATGCGGAAACTTGGAGTAGAGGTTCGTCTGCCATTGGGATGTGAAACTATCCCCGGCGAAGAAAACTCCTGGTGAAGGCCAAAGCCTCTTGCAATGCAGAAAAAATCCTAGCCTCCAAAATGGATGGTTGCAAATCCCAAAGGTGACCAATTTTCTGGTTTCAGTATCCACTGCACGCCATGGCTTGAGCTTTTTACACCCATATCTGTGGAGTCCATCAACCACCTGGATTTTTTGTCAATTTCATCCATCCCCACCTAGCATCACCACTCCCATGAAGAGCTTCCAGTTTTCGCTCATCGCACTCGCTTCGCCTGCCCCTTTGCTCCCATGATCTGCCTGCAACTGCAGGTGATTCTCTGTAAGAACTGAAAGTTCAACAATGGCCCAAAATGATTCAGCATGATTCAGCAGTTTTGGATAGTTTTGGATGATAAAATGGCAAACGCTTAGAACGCTTGGATCACCAGTGACTGTCTTTGCCAACGGCGCTTCCCATGGTCGGATGATCCCCTTAGGGATCCCTTCTGCCTCGTCGGAAATGTGCATGATCGCCACACAGATCAAGGCGGCAATGGCTTGGCCGTATTGGAAGAAGGAGTAGCGCGTGCCGTTCACCTCGGTGAATCGCACGGAAACCGCCCTGGGCGACTGGGCGACGCGGAATTTGTGTTTTTTTTCGGAGAAAACAGGTGACTGAAACGGTTACTTAACACTGGGCGGATCCGGAAAAAGGTGGAAAACCGTGGGGAAGGTGGAAATACATCTAGTTAGTGGTCAACCATAGTCATAGTGACCAGCATTCGCTCGGAATATGTCTATATGATGTTAAAATATGTCACCATTCATGGGCGACAGTCATGTGATATCACTGTTTGATGAATCGATGAATCGATGAATCGATGAATCGATGAATCGATGAATCGATGAATCGATGATGATGATGATGATGATGATGATGATGGTGGTGATGGTGATGATGATGATGATGATGACGACCAAGTCACAATTCGGCCCATCATCATGTTGGGCAGCATCTTAACAGACTTCGCCATGACCTGCGCTAGGCCAGCTTTCACGAGTTGAAACAATGATGAGCACCGAGCCCCCACCAGCTATCATCGCTACTTGTATTCCCGTGTTGCTGACGCTATTTATAACTAACATAACCAGGATTAATTTGGGTTGCAAGCCAGTTGTGGCTATGGGGGGCCATCCTTGTATCCGGATGTGACAACCTGAAATGGTGCAAATTGCAAATTGCTGGTCAAGTTTGGACGTTACATCAGGGTCTCTGTGGATCTATCATTTGGAGCCAGTCCCATGAAGGACCCACAAATAATTCGTTTGATGCCACAAAGGAAACTGTTTTTTCCTCCAGCATCTCCCCAAATTTGAATAACAACCCTGCTTAATCCATCTTATTCCATGCAACTTTCTTGACCGGAAGGACATCTGACCATCTTGATCTCTCCATGCCACCTGTACGGGAAAGGAGACGTACTTCAGCATCTCGTAGCCCGCAAAGGTTGAGAGTTCATTGGTGAATGCAAAGGCACCTGCCACGACCCAACGGGGGACCCAACGGGACCCGTCGGGACCCCGGCGTATAGACCCAACGGTTGAGGCTATAGAATGTGGCAGGCTGAATTAGCATTGAACAAGAAATAGTCTGATCTTAAAGATCAGATAGGGGTTCTTGGAATGAGAGACCCACGAATTATCCGAAAATGATGATCTGTTTAATATTGTTGAGTTTTCTTGAACCACCGTTAACCACTGGTTTTGGTGTCCATTTGGAGAAACTCCCCATTTGGGATACTGACGCCAGCTCCTATGGGGGATGATCATCATCTATCCGAGGCGCTCATGGACAACAAAGGTGCCCCCAGACGAAGGCTTTTCTGGGTCACCAGCAATAAGCAAGCACTGCAAATCACAGACCTCGGGCGGTAAGTCACCAACGTTTCACTATCTGCTATGAGTCCCCCAAAGTGTTCGACCCCAACACATTCGCCAAATGGACTATTTATGTATTAAATGTGATTTCGTGTGTGTGTGTATGTGCATATAGATATGTTTGTGTTTGTTTTTTGTTGTGTATTGTTCTTGAAAACCCCTTGACTGGGGGCTCCTCCCAGGATCTTCTCCGGCTGCTGAGATGCATTGCACGAGACGAGAGCACCAACACCACACTGGCCACTTTGTCCTGTGTGACGAGCTTCTCTTTGAAAATCCCATAGGAAATGAAGCACGCGTGCCTCGGCATGTGATGTATGGGTTCCTTCACCATTTTGTGTGCAAAGTATAACCACACAGTGTCACAGATCTGTGTGTTCTCCAACCCTTGATTCTTGGCCTTCCCGTTTGGAAGTGCTCCCCCGACTACCCAAAAATGGAGATGCCAAAGAAAATCGGAACAACCCATTCTTCGAAGCCACCGAATGAATTTGACCTAAAATAGTGTCTAGCCGGTTTTTTGCACAGCCCAATATATGGCCATATCACTGCGAAAAAAGATCACCGAAGTCATGGCATTAAACCAAGTTGCAAAGCTGCTGCTATGAGGAGCGATTGCAATGCCAGTGGCACCACCATCAACAGCGGAACTCGCAGCACCAGGGTGTGCATTACCACGTATGCATCCCATCCAACCTCCACAAAAACCCACCATTGCACTGTGATCTTGGAAAAACAAACACTTCTTGCCTGGGGAAACATCAAGTGTTCAGCTGAAGTCACAAAGCAGTGGGCATGGTTGCAGGACACCAAACTCCACGGAACTATTGGAAGCAAGTTGAGGTCGTAGGATTATTACCAATGGGTCAAAAAGAACATGTGTCAATCCGATGAAACCTCGGGTTTTGAAAGGTCATGGATTGAGGACTGAGGCAATACTACACCCGGGAATGGACAGGAGTAGTAGCAACCTCCTAGTTGTATTGGATTTGTCCTAGGCACGACATCTACGACCCCTCCATAAGCCAAACATCTCAAATTGGTGTTCATCCAAGCCACAATCACCAGCGCCAAATAAATCAACACAATGACCGTGACAGGTAGATCGGTGAGCAGCACCACAGCTGTCAAGACGATCAGGACCAAAAGGGTCAAGGCTGCAGCCCCAAACAGCAGACCCCTCAAAAGCTCTTGCCGCATCCGCGTGCCAAACTTCGTGTCCTTAAACCATCTGGGTAGCTTGAGTACCAGCCAAGGGAACAACAGGATCGAAGTAGACCGGTTTGCCGAGAATTGAGGGATGGCCGATTCTTAAGACGTACCCATCTCATCTTTGTTGTGGCTTCATTCTGGCTGTGTCGACGAAGCACTTGCATCTGTCTGACACAAAACCTGACCTCGGCCTCTTAGATGTGCCTCCAAAAATAATCTTGAAAAATCACCCTTTATCCCAACACCCAGAGACTCTTATGGACCATGAACGAATGTGGCAAACCCAATTTCTAACCATCCCTACAAGGTTGTGCCCCCCAGTTATAAGTTGGTTTATAATCCCATTAACTATAGATATATCTACCATAAGTCCTAGTTATTAGACTTATAAACCAACTTAGCTATCTTGGGGGCACCACATTGTAATGATCAACCCATCTGTGAGCCAGGGCTCCGGTGCGAAGAGGTCGTCAAAGCCGGTGACGCGATCCAGCCACTCAGGCCGTTGCTGGCCGTCAGGAAAATACAAACCTCCGGCTGTGCCGGGGTGATCTGTGCCGGGGATCACGGTTGTGATTGCACCCCTATAAGTTAGGATATAATTAAACAGAACTGCAACCCCCAGGGGATTCAAGCAGCACAAAGTGTGAAAATGTGGCTAATAAGAGGAAAAATGGCTTTCACCAGTAAAGAATAGGGAAAAGGTGGATTGCACCAGCAATCATTGGAAGATTGAACAAACCACAATATGTATCTTCACATGGAAAAGGGTAGACCCCATCAAGAAAAATCAGCCAGGAAGAGGTAGTTTTACGATTTTGTCTAGGTGAATGCATCCTGACCACTGCTATCTGAGTAAACTCGTTCCATAGATAACTATTAAGCTGTGAATATCGGTCATTACTCACACCTTAGCCTTGCCATGCTTGCAGCTGGTGAAAATTAGGGAGCTTCTCAATTTTCGCCTCATTTTAGTAGGTAAATCCCAAGGTCGACAGGATGAAATCGGTACTATTGGTCAACAATAAGGTACAAATGGACACGCCAAATTTGTCATTGTTTATGACAAAGCAATGTTCACCGTTGCAGCCACATCCCTCAATGTTGCCAAGGCGCCAGTCAAGTCTTCCTGCTTTGGGAAGGTCCTGCACAGAATCAGCTTCCAAAGTCCACGCCACATTGGCGGCCAATAGGTCGAAGTAGGGTACCCCCCGTGCCCAAAAAAATCATGGTTCACTGAGATTTGGCCGGGATGAATGTTTCCTGGATCTCGAACTTTGACCCATAGGCATTTCTTCACTGTGAAATGAGGAGTTCTCCACAACACCATGATCGTAGCATTCCCCATTAAACCGGCCATAAAATGAAGGCCTGGCCCCTGGGGAAAAAAAAACTGGCTCCTGTCAGGTATGTCTTTGTCCAGGAATTTGCATAAAGGTTCCCAGCCATGTCGCACGTCAAAGACCAAAAGTTGAGGCTTGCCATCCCTGAAGGGAAGACCAAAAGTCCATGGATAACCCTTCCCTTCAATGAATTTCCAGGACGTAAAGGTCAGATCATTCCAGGCCTATAAAGATTGGATGAATTTTGGATGATAAACTGGTAAATCCACCTTAAAACTCGCTGCAACAACTTTAACCCAACTTGGAGTCAGCTGAATCATTCTGATTGGTTGTCATCCAATGGTCGCTTGAGGCACTAGTTGAACATGGGAAGATACTCTTGGAAGAAGCCGAAGAGTTTGGAGCGTGTCGGCCAAAAAGGCTGCTGGTCAAAACGGGAGGATGCAGTAAAATGGATCGTATTTATGTACTTTGAACAGACAAACAAATTAATGGATTGGGGGTTCAGTTGGACCACACACCAGGAGGGTGACACGTGTTAGATCATCATACATCCAACTCAATTCTTGTCGTGTCCACAACTAGTTTCAGCTGCAGCCCTGTGCTGCCAAGCAACAGCATCTTACCCTCCAACAGAGATTTTACCTCAGCCGTACGCATTCGAAAAAATCTGACAATTGATTTTTGGTTTGCAAAGCGATTCCCTAATCATCATGTCAAACTCAATTGATGGGACTTTTATGGGATTTGATGGGATCTTAATGGGATTTTAATGGACTCATAACACAACCTTCAACAACCAACAGTGGCTTTGGCAATGAATTTGCCAGCAAACAGCTGATGTTCATCTCTCAGTTCAGCCAAGCAGCATAGGAATTATGTTGCCGATAGCTATTTCTCGTTGTGGACCTGACTGCGTGTCACAGCCACCAAAATCAATGGTAGTTATGATAGACGTTCATCCCGCCATGGACGTGTCTATAGGTATTGATATATAAAATGTGTTGTTTCAATGTTGTTTGATACTTGTACAGGACAAATTCCATGTTACCTGTCCTAAGATTTTGAGGATCATCAATTAAGATAATTAAGATTGTCTTCCTTGATGATGGATGCACCTATCCCCATTTTCCAAATCTACCCACAATAACCCAACTGCTACCCATCAAGTGGAATTGCTATCCATCATAAGCGCTCGGGTACCCACATTAACTCCTCGCTCAGCTGCTCATTCAGCATGTCCATCTGGAGCGTTGTTGCCCCCAGGGTGGTGGCCCATGCAAACCGGAGCACTTCACCTGAAGGAAAGCTAAACAGTTCGTGCTATCTCCTGCGGGGGTTCGGAAATCTGTCCACAAACTCTTTCTGGAACAGTTCTACCCCCACTTCACCGAAAAAGTTTGGCCTTATATATTCTTGCAACATCTTGCAACTAAGGGACAGAATCTGTGATAGGAAGGTACCAGCCACCTTTCCAATTGCCGGCGGATCGTGCCATACCGCAGGGGCGCCCCTGGGACATCGTGATCCATGGCGATTTTGGCCTGCGCCATCCGAAAATCTTCCATCAATGGTCCCAAACAAATACCCCCGGACTGCTACTTAGTTACTAGGTATCTTCAAAATACTTGGGTGAAACACTGAACATTGACCAAAAATGGTCGTAAAGAGTGACCAGTTTTGGCAGGGCTTGGACTTTGCCCTCTGTCCTTGCTCACGGATCGCCACCAGCCATCTTCATTCCGTACGGTCAGAATGACCTTCGCATTGGGATATAACTTCAGGATGTCTTCCCAGAAGCAAAAGGTGGGCATCCCCATGACGATCTGGCAGCCTCCAAACATGCTCCGAAAGGCCTTGGTGGGATCTCGATTCTGCATCACGTCGTTCCACAACTCATAGCTGTGCGAAATCCTTTCCTGATCGTAGATCTCAGAATATCCTTGGATATGCAAGATGTTTTTTTATGACAGGGTCCCTTCAAAACACAAACTGAAACATTGTCTCTGTTCGCCCTTCAAGTCCTAAATTTTAGTGGCTTGTGTTTTAATATCCAAAACTCGTTTCAATGAAAATCATCATGTTTCTTGAACATGTTTCCCCAAAGTCTTGAAAAACATGACCTGTTTTTCAACAAAAACTCGCACACAATTTTACCACTAAAACTCCAGGTCTCCCAGGATCGAAAAGGCTCGGTGCAACGACTGCAGTCCCGTCCGCATCAATCCCACACAGATCACCTCAGGATCATCTCCATCGGGGTCGGGCGACAACGCCGGGGAGGAGGTCATCGCCGGGGAGGATGTCGTCATTGGCGCGGTGATGAAAGATGTGGCCAACCAACCAACTGTGGAATGTTGGTTTTTTCAAGGCAAGTGGGGAGAAGAATGTTTGTTGAGTGAATCTATGTATGTATATATATATACACCATATGTATGTATGAATATACATATTATATATAGTACATACATATAGTATATACATATGGTCATCCAGGTTGAGAATTAAGCTCACCACATGCGGACTTCCGGAAATGAAACATGGTTGCTGACACACGATCATTGTGGTGATCCATTCTGAAGCTGGCGGACAGCAAGTGCAGGGCCACCACATCTGAGTAGTGGCGTTAACCCCAAAAAATGTATAGCAATTTGGATCATCATCCCAAAAAGGATGGGAAAAAAAACCTGCTGAAAAGGTCAAGAAGACCTTAAAAGTACTTGGAATGATCCTCATGCTTAAGTGAGAAGCTACCTTTGCAAGGTATCCCCACTATATCCCAATTACAATCCCATCAAACATACAATTAAACATACTATGATACACCCCTCAAGTCTCAAAGATCGGATTATAACTAGGAGATGTTATTAGTGTATATATCCTATCATGTCCTCATCCCCATGACAATCCTGTTTCCTATCACACAGAGCGATGTCTGCCACAACCTTTAGTTCCTTCGATGAGTTCCAACGTTGGCGCTCACTTTCGATGCGTGTCCTTGTCGCAGTTTGATCGCTCGGAACTGCAGACAGTCTGGGGCAAACAAAGTTGACAAATTGGATATGGGAAATATATGGAAATGTGAAAAATTGCAAAAACAATTGAAAGAATTGGACAAAATTAGGAAAAAAAGGAAAAAAAAAGATAAGACCCGAAGGTTTCTGGGTCTTCGCCCAAAGCAGGGGGATTTGTGAATTTAGTGTTCCTATTTTTGGCCTAAACCGGGTCAAGAGACTGAGTCGTGGTGTCGCATCACGGGTTTCAGCTGCAAGACATCAAGGTGGAACAGCCAAAACTTCTGGACACAATGGTTCTTGGGATGTTTCGGGCAAACGGGAGTCTTTATCTAGTGATGCTCATGCCATCATTTTCAAGATATCTTCAAACAGCACTAAAACGACAGGCACTTGCCATCTAAACATGTCTGGCGGAAAAAATACAACGACTATCCTCATCCTCATCATCATCAACAACAACAAGAAGAAGACATCACGAACAACAAGATGTCAAGAACAGCAAGCAGAATTGTCGTATGGAACATCTCAAGCTCCTGTCACGATTTCTTCCTTTGTAGTTCGTCCTCTTCGGTGCAATTCCACAGGACACAGCCTCCAAGAAGTCCGTTTGGAAACCTGCAGTGGGGGATAGGCTCCCAGCAGAAACCCAGTAGCCTACCGGGCCCTACCGTATTTTGAGGTGCAATTCCACTATGGATCAATACTTATGGGAACAGCATAGCATGCAGTGACACATGCCCTTTGCGACTCATAGAAGTCACAGCGACAACTGCGCATTTGCGACTCGAGAAAAGTCTTGATCCAATTCTAAGTGTTATGTTTTTGAAACTCCTCTGTGCCAAAAATACCCCAACATCATTTCATACCCACCGGATTTTCTTTGGACAAACCCAGCTGACACTCGTCATGGCATGTCATGGCGACAACTCCAAGCTCCGAACATCTTGGGGTGGCAAACCGTCTCAAAGCTGTCGTAGTCTGCCTGATCTGCAGGGTCCAATTGCTGGGTCTACACTGCGCCACATGCAAATGTAATCGAATCCCAATGAATATTCCCTTTTCGCAATAGATAGATAGATAGATAGATAGGTAGATAGATAGATAGGTAGATAGATAGATAGGTAGGTAGGTAGATAGGTAGATAGATAAAATATAGATATAGATATAGATAAAATATAGACATAGATAAAATATAGCTATAGATAAAATATAGATATAGATAAAATATAGATATAGACAAAATATAAATATAGATAAAAAAAATAAATATAGAGAAAATATAAATATAGAGAAAATATAAATATAGATAAAATATAAGTATAGATAAAGTATGAATATAGATAAAATATAAATATAGATAAAATATAAATATAGATAAAATATAAATATAGATAAAGTATGAACATAGATAAAATATAAATATAGATAAAATATAAATATAGATAAAATATAAATATAGATAAAATATCAATATAGATAAAGTATGAATATAGATAAAATATAAATATAGATAAAATATAAATATAGATAAAATATAAATATAGATAAAATATAAATATAAATATAGATAAAATATAAATATAGATAAAATATAAATATAGATAAAGTATGAATATAGATAAAATATAAATATAGATAAAATATAAATATAGATAAAGTATGAATATAGATAAAAATATAAATATAGATAAAATATAAATATAGATAAAATAAAAATATAGATAAAATATAAATATAGATAAAATATAAATATAGATAAAATATAAATATAGATAAAGTATGAATATAGATAAAATATAAATATAGATAAAATATAAATATAGATCAAATATAAATATAGATAAAATATAAATATAGATAAAGTATGAATATAGATAAAATATAAATATAGATAAAATATAAATATAGATAAAGTATGAATATAGATAAAAATATAAATATAGATAAAATATAAATATAGATATAGATATAGGTTTGGGATAGATATAGTTTGGTTTCTTCTCTATCCAAAACTTATATCTATGGCCAGAGTATGGCTGGCTGGCTCAGAGCCACCTCTTCTTCGGCCGCATCGAAGTTGATGACCTGCTCATGGGAGCATCCACCAGTTTGTTTTTCGGTGGATTTACAGGTTTAATGGTTATTTAATGGTGATTTAATGGTTATTTAATGGTGATTTATGATATGCAATGGTTATAACCACCAAAAAAAAAGATTGAAAAATGGAACTTGAAGAAACTCTGTCCAACAGCTTTGACCCTTGAAAAAAATCATTGAATGTCCAGATCTGCGCCTCTTCAATGATCCAGATGGGCTTTGACACCTGGGCCTGGTTGACCGGGTTTTGAGGGGGTCCCCATTAAGGTCAAAATGGAGGAGCCCTGAAAACCCAGGGTTGTTGCAATATGAAAAGGATCTCATTTGGATGATTTATAAGACACATACATACCATACCGTACCATACCATACCGTACCATACCGTACCGTACCGTACCTTACGTACATATTTATATATATATATACACACACATATAGGGTATATCTCTATTATTTAAGAAACACATCATTGGAAAAAAAAAACTGGCGATTCTCGTGTTGATTCTGAAAATCGTCATTTTATCCTTAGGTTCAACTGGGCGCAACGGAGTCTCACGATGTTGCCGTACATTTCTACAGGGCTCAGTTTGTCAATGGGGTCTGGTAAGAAAAGCATCCTGCGCTATGAAAAAAAACGATAAAAATGGTTGTTTTGGGGGTATTCCCTATTTTCAGACAAACATATTCAGTAAGATGACAGAATCGCAGGTCCCGTTCTTCAGCCTCTGCGGACGAGCTTGGGGGAGATCGGAGCCTCCTCAAAGTCCAGGGAAGGAAGAACATCATTGAATTTTCAAATTACCATGGCAAATCTTAGATGTCGTCAAAAAAGGATTAAAAGGAATTATGTTCTAAATCTACATACATGTGTATATATACATACATATATATATATATATACGTACATACATATAGCATCATATAGTGTATTGTGTATTGTGAATCACCTCGTCCTTGACAGTGACCTTGTAATCTATGTTGGAATGAACGTTGACCCCAATGGCGAACCGCGGCAGCGCGCACGCCGCTTTTCCTGGATGAGCGAGTGGCGTATTGAGCCACCAGTTGGTGACTTGAGCCGCATCGGCGGTGAGAGCGGAGCTTCAAAGTTGGTGCACATGAAAGGTGTCCCGTAGCCTATATGCCAATCACACCCCCCATGCCCGGCGTCCCCTGGTCGCGGTAGCTTTACCTACGACCGGGGCGCCGAGCACAGGATCGCGCGTGTGAGATCAAAAATTGGGATATAAATTCGCTCTCTCTCGCCAATTACTCGCCTCTTTGCATTTACATGCAATTGTTCTGTTTAGGGTTTGCGTACTAGCCGTGGTAGATCTACCCTCGGCGTTCAGCTTGCCCCCTTTTTGAATTAATTCGCAGTTCTTAAGTCCTTGAAAATTATCCTGTTGCATTAGGAGGTCTTCGTATCCTAAATGCATAGGACTCATATGAATTAGCCCGGCACTCAGACTCCTCTCATAGGATCTCTTCATTGATATAGACCCAGAGAAGTTCACCTCTTGCGCCGTTTCTTGCCAGTGTCGGTCTCCTTGGTGCTCGCCGAAGCCTGTTCTTCTGCGGGTTGATCATCACCAAGTGCTCGAACATATTGTCTGGCAATTTCGCGTTCTGCAGGATCAAGGGATCTGAGACATGTAGCCATCTGTGCTGCGCTCTGTTGTACCGCTTTGAGCTTTCCTTGCCAAACTTTGCGTAGTTGCTGAGGTAGCTCCAGGCCGATCTTGTTGAGCGTCACGAGGATGGCAAATGTTCTGCACCTTTCCGTCACTGCACACGCTAGTTCTACAGGATCAATATGAACATGATCGTCCAGTTGAGGTGGTGTGACACGAAAATAGTCGTAGGAACGTACGGCAAATGCACCGGAGATAATCTTCCTGACAAAGTCGGACGATTCTCGTCGTGCTTCTGCTTGCCGTTCGTCGTCCTCGTCCATGTTGTCGGCAACCTTGGCATAGATGAGCTGAGGAGTGATGCCAATCTGGATCAAGTACTTCATGATCTTGCAAAGCACTCGAATGCCGTTCACTCCCTTCAAATAGGTTTCCAAATCACGCCCGCCGATCTTCCCATTCTTGGCATTCGCATGGAATGAGGCGATCAGTTGCGCTTCTGTTGGTTCCTTCAATTCGCCGTTCGCAGTTTCGCCCACGTATGGTATGTATCCGTCAAATTCTGGAATGAGATTGAGCCTCAATACGTGGTCGTGATATTGTTTGGCTGGTGCCACCGAAGTCCATAGATGAAATAGCCGAAATCGATCCTTGAGATAGCTCAGAATCATGCAGTCCATCGCGCGAGCTGTGCTGTCGATGGCGTCCTCATTCTGTGCGATATCGATACATTGAATGAGTGATGCTTGGATGATCCTTGTTGTCCACATAGGCAATCGCATCCTTGCTTCTCGGCGCTCTTCATCTTGGTCTTGTTCTTTGGCAACCTTCTCATCTTCTTCTTCTTGTTGCTCCTTGGTGTTGTCACCAAATACAACTTTCTGATCAGGTACATTGCGTCGACGTTCTTCTTCATGCTTAACGTCCTCGTGGCTCGATTTGGCATCGGTCATGTCAATGTCATCATCCGGCGCCTCTTCAGTATTCTTCTTCGACTCCCTGACCAGTCTGTCGATCTCCTCCTGGTCCTCGTTCTCCATCTCGACGTCATCGTCGTCAGCACCTTGACCATCTCCGCTTTCTTGTCTTTCTCTTTCAGGCATTCCAGGGGCAGTGCTCTCGTCTTTCTCTGGTACTTTCTCCCCCCAGCTGACAAGCGTTCCATGGCATCTGACGCAGATAGATAGAATGTTTGGAGTCTCAGTAAGGCATGCTGGACATATCAGGTGTCCAGCTTCTCTCGGAGTGTAATTCTCGGAAATGAACGTCACGATGTCGTTCCTCAGCTCACTGTTTGGGCTGAGGGCTCCGCTGAGTGATTCAAGTTTTGCAACATCCTCGACGAACTTGTCATAGAACGGAATGTTGTCCCCGCTGTCGATGTCATCCAGCAAGGCCTTGGAGACACGAAGCACCGTGTTTGCCGTTGCAATCTCCTTTGGTTCTTGACATGATCTTACCAATTGAAACTTTCCAGAATCAACCACCAGTCGTTCCCAATCATAGTTGTTGTTCTGATACCACGCTGCGATCACTTCGGAGAAAGGAATATTCCCGTTCACCACCATTTGGCCAGATGCGTTGATCATGATTCCAAGACTCATGAGTCGATGAACGCTGAATGTAAGGACCATGCGAGGTTGTCCCAGGTGTGTCAATTGTCCTCCTAGGATCTCCCTATATCGTTTGTCCCATGGCACAAATGGGTTGAGGAAAACTTGTGTTCGTCCTCCTCGGTGTCCTCCAGGTCGTAGACCTTCCTTGATGATGCCAACCACGTTCTTGAACTCGGTAACATGATGGCAAAACCAAATATCGTCTGCGATCCTTGTTGTGATCGGGTGACAAATCTTGCTATAGTCAAGGCGAAAATCTGATCCACGGGCTGAAAATCCTCCAGGTGAACACACGGCAATGGGCGCTAGGAAAACTTCCCCACGTTGTGCAATGAGGTCGTGGATGTCATCACCGACTCCCATGACCTTCCTGAGGTAATCATCGGGCTTGTCGAAGGTAGAGTCAAGAACAATGCATAGGAATTGGATGCGGATCTTGTTCTTCTCTTGGAACTCTGACCAAACAGTCTTGATCATGGTCTTGATGCGCTCCGCACGGAAGTCGACAGCAATCAGTCCGTCATCCTCCTCCTTGACCTGCTCGTGATCAAAGATCCATGGGTGATGTAGGAATTCCATAATGTCCACCCATCCGGCTTCATCACATCTTAGCCCGGAGAACGTTGTTATCCTTCTGCCAGAAGTTCTTTCCCACACCTCTCTTCGTCCGATGTGGTGTCTCAGGGCCTTGTTGAAGTAGTAGCTGTACGTCTTCTCCCAATCCTCCATGAAGACACGGTTGGCTCTGGATTCGGTCGGTAGAGGATATTCCACTCCGGGTCCGACAAAGCATTCGGAGTAGAACTTGCCACCGTTGACCGGAAGAATCTTGAGCTTCCCGATGTCCGTGCCGATGCTGAGCTTCTTGTACATTCTGTGATCGGAGTAAGGAACAGCCGACTTCATCTCTTTACAAGTCATCGTGACGCCCCTTTGGCTTGCCATGTCGACAATGTCGTTCAGCTCGCCTTTCGACCAGGGGCCCTTCACTTCGGCTTTCACTCCATTGATCCTCTTTTCTCCATGGGCACGGTCTCCAATCACTGAAAGTGGGATAGCCTGAAGGTACATGTACTCTCCAGCCCTGGTAGCTTTGTAGTTCTCCTGACGGAATCGTTGCTCCTCATCATCATCTCTTTTAGGAGCATCATCCTTCTCCACATCGTCGCCCTGAAGTTTCTTCCTCAAGTTGATCAGTGCAGACTTTACTGGATCATTGCCTTGTTTGGGACATTCATAGTTGGGATGACCACTTTCACCACATTTCAGGCAGACGTTGTTGTCGTCCGCCAGGGCAAAGAGCGCGTTGATGGCCTCGACAATGGCACCCTTGTCCTGAGAGATCTGGAACTCCTCTTCAGGATTCGATGGAGATTTAGGCGCTTCGTGCATGTCCGGGGTGGTCGACGAACCTGCCCCTTCGGCACTAGCTCCCGCTCCTCCGGTCGTCGGTCCTGGGGTGGTCGACGTACCATCCCCGGTCCTCTGACCTTCGGTCCCCATATCGTCGTCGTTGGTGTCATCTGCCTTGGACCTTTTGTAGTTCTCGTTGATGACGCTGATCTCCTTGTCCTCAATCAGGCATATATACTGCAATCCATGGTACATTGGGATGTCACGCAGGATCTGGTTCACCAATGTCTCCTCATAGTTGGTAGGTTCGGTGATCCTTGATCCACCCCTCTTTGTGTTTGGAGTTGTGGTAGATCTTGTCGTTCCATGGAAGATGTTGATGGATGCTTCCAGGCCTGCGAGAAGCTCACCTGGATCGGCCTTTGTCTCCATGAATGTGATCTGTGATTTCGTCATGTTGGCCACATCCAACATTCCAAGCCACATTTCGACCACGTCTCCACATTTCTCGGCCGTTGCATCAGCATATCCCATGACATCCGCGAAATCATCTCCGAGCACCATCTTGAGGTAGTCCTTGTAGAAGACATTCCCATAGTCCTTGGTGACACGATATGCAAATCGTTCATGGGCATCATTGCCTTCACCCAAAGTGAACTCCTCTCGGATGACACCGTATTGTCTTCCACGTTTCCCAACGAAGATCTGCTTGACTCGATCTCTGGGAACTCTGACCATTCCAAAGTGCGACAGCGCCTTCATGAGGATCTCACCGTGCTCACATCCTTTGTTGCCCACCATCGATTTGGTGATGTCTTTGAGGAACTGCACGAAGTCCTTCTGAGGGTCTGTCACTGGATTGCCTGATTCCATCATGATGTTGAAGAATGCACGGGACCGTGCCGCCGTTTTCACGATCGTCTTCCTCTGGTACTCTGGCGGCCAAAGCTGGTAGTCCCTCATTGTCTCGCTTGCTCGGCAAGCGATGCATTCTTTTCCATAGTTGAAGTCTTGCCTCATCTGATCAGTCGGCATAACTTCATCGTCATCCCCAAGGTAATGTCCTTGGCATAGAATCATCTCATCTCGCCCATGGTTAACGTAGAACCACATGTCGTACATGTTTGCCGATGGCTCAGGGAGAACCGATCTGA